GTGCCTTGGGAGAGGCGGATTTCAGGGACAGATCGAAGTAGGGCGGGGGGCGGATCTGGGAAGCCACCCTGTAAAAACCTGAGTTAGTCCGTGTTTTTAAGGCAGCAGTATCTGCGGTCACTAGAGCAATTAGCGTGGTATCTGTTGCTGTGCAATTCTGATTTATTCTACTTAACATGTAAATAAATGTTTGCAAATGAAGGCAAAGTGTCACTGTTTACTTTTCTTGGGAGTCTGAATTTTGTAAATACTCTGTGTCCAACAGCCCTGTTTTGGGGGGAAAAATATTTTCTTTTGTTACAACTTTTGTATTTACAGGGATAGAGGTGTTTTCCCATTAAGGTATAATGTTTCTTCTTCCTGCCATGTTGATGGCGACTCTTCAGGGTGACAGTTTCAGCTATCGATTATTTGGCATTTTGAATATTTTAAATAATATTACTTTCTTTTAGACGAAATACCTGTAGGAAATTGTTCAATATACAGTTAGAGGAAACCTGAAAATAGGCTTCTCAGAGGGAGGTTTCCCTTAAGTAAACTCCCTTGGCAGAAGATACTATGATTTCTTTACAGAAACTTCAAGTGCACGTCAAAGAACAAAATGACATCACTGATACGTGTTCTCTTGATAACCCATTATGCTGATTTTCATATTTCCACCAAATTGGATATTACAACAGGAGAAACAAGTCAGCAGAGGTCAGGGTAGAAGCTGCTCCTTGTGCTCACGTGGATCACTAGCTTCAAAGTCCGGTCCAGTTTTAGGTGTGAGTTTGAAACAGAAGCAGGCGCTGGTCACATAAATCCATTTCTATCTTCAACGTGATTGACTGAGATCATGTACCTGAATGCTGTAACAATTGGCTACCATAATTATGAAAAATGCAATGAAGTTCCTGTCCAAAAAACCTGATTAACTGAAAGCCAGCTGTTTTTGCTGGCACACTGGTAGCTGTTAATTGGGTGTCATGATGCTGTTGGGGGGATGGGAACTGGGGACATGATCTTCTGAACAGGAGGACATATGGCCATGGCATGAGTTTGCCAGGTCACCTCCTGTGGGACCTAGAGTAGCTATCACATGGTATAGGCAGGATTAAAATGAAGGCCTGTCAGTGGGCGGAAGCAGCTGGAACATCTGCGGATGCTCAGTAATATATGTCTAAATGAAGGTATATATTGACATTTGAGATGCATGCTCAGGCTTATTGGTATTGCTGGGTCTTAGACTGTTGCTGGGTGTTCAGTGACTGTAGCCCCTCTTTCGTATGCAGCTGCCTCAACTGTTGTCTTTCACCGTTGGGTCCGGAATTTCCAGGGGTCTAGAGTAAAGTAGCCAGCACTAAAGCTCTGTGACTGAGGTGATTGCCTGTAAAATTTTGGGTGGAAGTTAGTTTGTTGTTTTTAATTTCTACAGTCATTTTTTTTGATACCTGATTAGCTGAAAGGCTGCGTCTATCCACATATGGTAGTGCTACACTGAAGAGCAATAGAGATGTCCAAACTTAGAGTCCTCTTGTTTTTGTAGAAAGGAGGCTGTTGATCAGTTTTTGTGAAAGATTGGTCTCTGGAACCTTTGTAATCTGAAAGACATCTTGGAATACGTTTAATATTTAAGATACATCAGAATTTCTCTATATACTGCTGGTTTGGACATCATCATGTGGTTTTGGTAACACTCATGTGAGGCAGAAAAGTTGGAGTTAGTGACAACAGAAAGTTGGTCAGTGGGTCAGTCCTTAAAAAGCCCTGTACAGCAGCTCTCAGATTGTTCCTAGCTGAATAATACATGTTTTCACATCACATGATGTCACTCGACATAAAATGATTGGAGAAAAACAAATAGAAACAATCTAGGTATTGCTGTTGATTTTTGGCAAGATGTACCTTATTCTTCTCAGTGAATCTTAAGAGGCTGTATCGTTCTGTCTACTCACAGGCTTTCCTTCAGATAGGAAGTTGCTAATGCACAATAATAGAAAGTGTGAGGTTTTAAGATCATTAGACCACATTTTTCAGTGCAGTAACTTCTTACGTCTTTGAACCGAATGGAATTTCACCATCAAAGCCAACAAGCAGTGTCCCAAGCCCGTGCTCCATAGGGGGCAGAGAGTAAGATCAGGAAGGTAACGTCCTCACATGAAGCTAATTGATTGCTTCTGAAAACGCTATTGCCAAGTACCCCAGAAAATAAGATTAGGGAACACGGAGGGGTCCAGCTTCTTAGACTTAGCTGGACAAAGATAATACAGGAAAGTGGTAGAAGAGGGTAGACAAGCAGGATAGGGAGAGAGAAGGGAGACGAGATAGGTTTGCAGTGAACAAGCCAACTAAAAATTTGCAATGAATATTCATTTAACTTTGTTTCATTTTTAGGCAAAAGCAACAACTATCAAAGAAGCTTTAGCCAAATGGGTAAGTACTAGAACAGTATCTAGCTGCTTTGTGGTACTCCATGGCATGGGGTTTGACTGTATTCAGATAAATTTGTTTTTCAAACATTGTAAGAAATATGTTTGCTTGAAACACCTGCTATAAGAAGTCTCACAAAGTGAAAATTTTATTGTTGTTGTTATTATTGAAGTATAATACATTCTGTTGGACCTTCTGTGTGTTCTTGTTAAATTGATGTGGCTGGTAAAGATGAGTCTGTTTTGCTCTCCTGCCTTGTTCTGCAAAGAGATTTAAAGTTGGGGAAGTCTTATGTTTTAATTATGCTCTGTTCATTTTACCTGAGTGTAGTCCTTCCCACAGAATAAACAAGTATGAAATTCTCACTGTACTGAAGTCAGTGAAACTTCTACTATTGTCTTTTAATAGATTGTCCCTCATATTGTGCAAAGCTTAACTCAGAATGAGTTTCTTGCTTGTTTTTATTCTTAAGAGTACCGTGATAGTACAGTCATTTGGGGTGGTGACTGACCTGGTCTTGGAGCCTTCTAGAAAGCTTGTTTGTTGGCAAGGATGCGGATGTAATTTCAAATGATGATGAAGGATGCTCTGGGGTCAGGTTCACAGTGCAGTAAAACCAGTGAGAATCTTTTCCCCCCTCTCAGTGGATTTTAGATTAGGGCACAGATGTGCCATTTGGTATACATGTGCTCTCCCACTAATTCTGGCCAGCTACTAGAGCAAGAGTTTATAAATCTTTTGGTCTCTAGAAGGTCTGTGTGTGAGGCAGTGTGGGCAGGTAACGTTGAAAGCCAGAAGATCTGTACTGTCAGCTCAAGGTACTAGTCTGTAGCTGAAGACTACTTCCTTTTTGAATTTTGTCTTTGTTTAGTACCTTCAGTATTTCAGTTTCTTTTCAGTTATGTTGGTATATCCCGCAAACTTCACTCCTGCTCTCCTAAGAAGAACTAGAATGCAACAGCTTGTGGACATTAGCATTACTAGAGGTGTCAACTGAGTTTTCAAAAATTTTGCTTTTCCTCCCTCGCGCTTTCTGTCCTCCAAAACCTCAGCTCCATGTTTCCTATTAAAGATTTATTTTCCATTTGCTTCTCTGTCACATGTCTGTTGGAGGTAATAGACGTGTGGCACTGAGTTTCCATTAATGTTAGGCATGAAGTGCTGAATTTGCTTTTCTGTTCATGTTATTGGGGGTGGGTCTAAATCTTGCTTTTACTACTCCTCATCTGGGTCCATGTAACTTGTAAAATTGGATCTGGTGGCATGTTGCATTCTGGATTTTTTTCTTCCCTTTGGCATAGGGGTTTACCTATGCCCTACAGTCAGGGTGACACTAGTTAAATCAAAGCAACTTTAACTTGAAATCAAAGCAACTTTAACTTAGCAAAGACGTAACGTGTTCTTAAAAAAGTGTCTGTTCTACCTGTGGTTTCTCTGTGGTTTATTGTGGTTGTTCAGCTGACCTTTCTTCCAGAAGTATGCAGCAATCAGGATGAATTTTCTTCTTGCAAGTGCTCACTGCTGGCCATAGTCTGTGTTGGAAGCTCTCTCCCTTTCATGTTTTTAAGAAAAAAAAGTATTTTTATTTGTTGGTATAAACTGATAGATTATAATCTGAGTATAAATGCAAATAGATACAGTGTTGTTCTCAGAAAAGATGATGGAAGTTTCACATTTATATAGTGACTTAGTTTGAACACATGCACCATATTGTAGCAAAACATCTGACATGCTTATTTGCTAAATTGCTAATTACGAGTAAAAATATTATCAAACTGAATTTGGACAGAAACTGGAATATAAGTAAATGCCACAAGGCAACATGCTAATTTTTTATTAAATTGAGTTGCCTTAAGTATTTTGGGTACATAAGAGAGAAAATAATGTTATCAAAACCTGATCTTGTGCTGTGGGATTCTTAAAGACTTCTGGGATGCAATTCATTTCATTACAGAGTAGCCATATAAACCAGGCCAGACCTCAGCTATCTCACTTTTCAGTAGCTGCATAAAAATGGGGGAGAAAACAAGAGTCCTTGTTTTGAAAGGGCCGAGTAGATTTCTCCTTTGTTAATGGACCTCCAGTCTTCCCACTGAACACCAAGTGAATTGACAAAATGCTCCCTTTGTGCTGTCAGGGAGGCAGCTGTCAAAACTGGTGGTGCTACCTAAATAGATACTTGTTCCAAGGGTTTAGTCATTAATTACCGTCGCTTCAGATTTTTAAAAGATTTAATAGACTATATTTTTTAATAAACCCAAACACTGAAGTTATGGCCATTTTTCTAAAGCTCTGAACTTCTAATCTAGAAAATTATCAACCTAGGTTGTAAATAGGAAATTTGTCTTTTGCTGTATTCTCTAAAGTGTGAAATCTTCCCCCGCTCTTTTTAATGGCTAATTAGAAATTTTTTTTTTTTTTAGATTCTTAACTCTGTAAATCTGTTGAGGTTCTCCCCCAAAATGCACTCCCCTGTGTTCAGTTTGTATTCCGAGTTAGGCGTGAGTTCTCAGTTTTTTGGGTGAAGTGAGAAGATTTTTCTGTCAGAGCTTTTAAGAAATCTGCTTCTGCTACAGATTGGCCCTAGCTGAGGCTCCTATATGTCAGTCTCCATGGAAATACCTTTATTTGGAATTTTAAACCCCCATCTGTTCTCCACTTCTTTACGGTAGAGGATCCCTTAATTAAATTGCTCAAGTGTAACACAACTTTTTTAAAAAGCATATGTTATGTGTAAGTTCCTTTGATATCTTGAAAGTAAGCTAGCCTTCCCCTCTTTATGCTACGCCAGCAGGAATCTTGACAAAGAGTATTCAAAATGCTTTCTCTTTTCAGTAATATCTTTTAGTAGTATATTGGAATTACTTCTATAGGAATTACTTCTATAGTAATTTTTAGTAATTGCATGTAGCAGTGAGCATCTTCTTCACCTTCTCTTTTCTTTAGGAAGAAAAAAATGGCCAAAAGGCTTCAGAGGCAAAGGAAGTGAAACTGTACGGTCAGATTCCTCCTGTAGAGAGGATGGATGAATCTCTCTCCACGCTTGTTAACTGCGAGTAAGTTCAGTTAAAAACAAATTGTAACCCAAATATTCTCCTCTCTTTAGATTAATATTCAGTTTTTCTGCTGTTCACTGTGCAAATATGTATTTACTATGTTTAAGTGTGGCCATCAGAGCAGCAGCTTTCTCTTCTTTTTTCTCAACTGAGCTTCTCTTTCCACACACAGTTCCTCTTTTTAATTCAAAGATGCCTGTCACTTAACTGAGAAGATGTTAGGGTAGATTCTATATTGATATTTGTCCCCGGAAAAATTATATACTATTTATCAGTATCTAATTACAGGTCCACATTTGGAGTCTATCAGCTAACCAGCAGACTTCTGATCCATTCCAAAATTTATGCAAAAAAAAAAAAAAAGAGACTTAAGCTGGACTTTCAGAAAGATATTGGAGCCATTTCAGAAATAAATGTCCATGCACTTGATAAGGCTAGGCGTAAGAAGATAATCTGGTATGTTGTGTAAGTAACTCATGGTACTTTCCCAGAAGCTAAATAAAGTTGCAGAAGTCCTGATGGTTTGAGGATATTTTGGGTCTGTTTACACATCCAGTTAGTTCACCATCTAATGAGAGACAAATAGACAATTATTTCTAATGCAATGGTGTTTGGACATGGAACTCTTCTGATATAGTGATCCTTGTATACTATGAATTGATTATTCTTGCTTTTAAAGGAAACTATCGCTGTCTACAAACTGCATTGAAAGAATTGCCAACTTGAACAGCCTAAGTAAGTGACAAGCCAGTGATCAATTATGTTTGTTTTCTAGTTGCTTGGATAGGACATATACCATAATTTGTTATATATGTCCTGGTTTATACCTATTGTTTCCCCTTTTAATTCCTTCCCCTTAGAAAATTACAAGGAACCTTTAAAGTTATCAGTCTTCCTGGAGAATGCATGTTTAGCCATAATGGTGTATTAAAGCATGTATCCCTGCAGCAGCCTTGGCAGTTGTCTCACTGTGCACGTTTAACAAAAAACCAAAAAAATACGTTCAGGAAGCACCTTTGTACTCTCCAGTGGGCCTAGTTGTGATACTCGACACTTGTTCAGTTCTAGAGTGATTTAATGACCAATTTCCAGACTCGTGATGGAGGCAGTCTGCAGTTCAACAACTCCTTAATTGCACTGTTGGTTGGAGTGAGGTTGGAGTGTTGTAGACCTGGATGGAAAAATGTCATTCCACTTTGCAGAGGATTGGATATACTTGGTTTGATTTTGTTCGTACTTGAGAGGGCTGTGCCATCTCTCTAGAAGTGGAACTGAACTTTTTTTCCTTGGGCAGCTGTCTGTGAAACCTTGAAACTCATTGGGTTACCAACTTTGGGACAGAAGTCTTAATGGTCTGTCCTCGAGACTTTGACTCTGTGGCATGAGGCTGGCAAAGAGCTGCAGGTTTTGGGCCGGAGCTTCCAGGCTTTTCTGTCCCCATCAAATTGCCAGGTGGACAGACAAGGAAACTGGAATCCCATCCTCTCCAACTACACACCAATGGGGCTGTCAAAGAGCTTGATTAACTTACTTATTTTCATAATATGCTCAGACTTCAACAAATTTGCAAATACTAATCAGGGAAAAAATATTCCAGTAGTCTTTCCAAATAACTGTACTGTAATAGTTCGAGTAACTCTATCATGAGCAAAAAATAATTAGGCAGTTACATATAAAAGTGAAACCAGTGGCATTTTTTGAGTGGGATAAAATGTTAAAAGCCTTTAAAGCATCTTAAATCTTTATACTAATAAAATGTAGAATCAAAACATCCAATCTGTACCAAATATTTGATGCTAAAGCCAGACAAACTAGATCTAAGTGGTCTGTCTTTTAAAGGTACAGAATATGAGGATCTCACAGTCTCTATTGGCTTCTGTGAAAAAGAGAGAAAGCAGTGCTTGTAGCTATGAAAAACAAGCCACTAATTATTACATACTTGCTTTTGCTTATTGCAGAGAGGAAGCTGAGAAATCTTTTTAAGCATCTGCACTCTTTTCAGATGGAAAAGATTACTATTAATGTGTACACCTGATATTGTAGTTACGTCAAGTAGATAATTCTGTGTAAAGGATCATACCCCTCTATCCATACATGTGAGGAAGATGGTTTAAATGACAGCAGCAAGTGTTAGTTTAGTGTTTTAAAGAGTGTAAATGTTCCATGAGGGAGATCTTTCTTCCTTTAAAATATAGAATATCTCAGAACAAAAAAAAAAATAAAGTAACAGCAGTTAGAAGCAATTTTGAGGCATGGCTTTTTAAGCAATCTGTCCTTTTTGTATTTGTAAGTATCCTTTCATTTCTTACAAATTCCAAAAGCTAGTGCAAACTTATAATTTATAAATGTGAGTTAGAGTGAGAATAGCTGGCTGGACCAAAAGGCCATCTTCCAGCACTCTCCCCTGTGGATGGGGATCCTTAGGGATATTCTGGAGAATATTAGCTGTAGTAGGCTTTAGACTTACTGTGATTCTTCATTTTTTGAGCATAGTCATGTATTACGCTGTTGTGTTTAAAAAGAAAAAGAATTTTCCTTGTACCTCGACTTTTTAATGAAAAGGAATCTTCCTGGTTTAGAATATTTGCCAGGTGTGGTTTTATCAGGTGTGGTTTCATCCCTGCATTTCTTGAGACAGAACATACAACTGTCTATTCTAGATCAGCTTTGAATCTTCATTGGTAGCAATCTGTAGCCACTACATGTGCTGTCTATGGAGTATCTCTTGCTACTTGGCTGGAACGTTCATTGGTCTTGCCGTTAATTATTGTACCATGTATTTTCGATCATTATGCATACAAGAGCAAAACAAGATCATTAAGTATTTCATCCTTAATACAGTTAAGAAGTGTTAAACATTCATGAAATGTACAGATCCAAAGTTGACCCAGCTACCTGCTGCAACTCAGTATGCTTATTTACACCTGCAAGAAAGCTTGTGTGAAAAATGAAAATGAGTTATACAAAAAGACTGCTATTTTGTGATAGCTTTGAGTTACAGTAGTATTACACTAAACTCCAGCAAGAACAGCTCACATTTATTAACCAGAAACTTTCTTTGTTACAGAAAATTTGAGGATTCTGTCTTTGGGAAGAAATAACATAAAGAACTTGAATGGATTGGTATGCACTTCTCAGTATCAATTCTTCACTAACAAAATGGAGTGCTGTCTAGAATGTGGGATAATTCCCCTATGTTTATGTTGCTGAATTTACGTTTTTGCCTAACCATGTATTTCCTCCTTTCACTATGATTTCTTCACCCTTTCAAACATTGCTTCTGAATTTTCAGATAGTCTTTCCTTTTTTTTTTGTTTAAACATTCTTCCTGTTTGGAGATTCTTCAGGGCTAATTCACTACATAAAAGGATTTTAGAAAGAGAGATTTTGTTGATTTTGACAAAGATGACCAGAACTTTTATTTGAAAACTGCTGTCTGTCTGTAAAGCCCTTTAAATTCCACTGGCTTTACATAAAAATATCTGAAGATACTTAGGCTATGCTTTTTTACTATAAATATTGGCAGTCCTATGAACACACACTTCATGAGAATCTGTCCTTTTTATGCTAACTGGCACCCGGAGCAATATGGCTGTAGGGGAGAAGATGGTGGCAGGACTCAGTCTACCAGGTAGGGGAAAATTTGTTGAGGAAAAAATTGGATCAATTTTGTTTACAAATAGTAGTTTGTACAACTACAATAGTCATTTGAACAACTACTCCAGCCAGCTATTCCTTGTCTTATTCTAATATTGTGATTTCTGTCCTCCTAAATGTAATTCAGATCCTTTGCTCTTAATTCCCATGAGTATTTGTCATTCATAGTTAGGGACCTGCTTAAAAGGAAGTGAAGACCAATGTACCTTAGTATTTTCTCATATGAGGTGACTTGTAGAGGGTGAAGAGAGAATCTGAAGAGTAAGGAAGACAGCCTTCTGCTTACCTGAGTAGCCTTGTCATTTTCCAGGAAGCAGTTGCAGATACTTTAGAGGAGCTGTGGATCTCGTACAACTTCATTGAGAAACTGAGGGGTATCCGTGTAATGAAGAAGCTGAAGGTTCTTTATATGTCAAATAATTTGGTGAAAGACTGGGGTAAGCCACGCCTCTTTATTCTGTAACTTCTCTGGTAGCATGGTGAATGCATGAGTTAAGTCGCCAAGCAGAAAATAGTTCTGTGTGTTACAGGGCTTTAAGTCTCATTGGTAAGCCTGCAGACATGCACAGAATCCCTAAATATCCGCTCATGCAAGAGAGTAAAAATAGTTAGAATATTGACTTTAACTTCTAAGCCCAATGGAGTTTGCATTTTGAATCATCTTTCTTGGACTTCTTTTAAAATGCATACCTGTTCTTTAACCTGATACCAGCTCAAGCCCAAGCAATCCCTATCCTGTTGTATCCCATGCTATTTATGTTTGCGCTGAGTTTGAAAGGAACATATGGTGCAGATGTACTTTCCAGGTTCCACAATCTGGTTGGTGTTTTCACCTTTGTGGTTGCAGCAGAGTTTGTGAGACTGGCAGAGCTGCCATTACTAGAGGATCTGGTGTTTGTAGGCAATCCGCTACAAGAGAAATACGCCTCTGATCAGAAGAACAATTGGATTGAAGAAGCAACCAAACGGGTACCCAAGCTGAAAAAGCTGGATGGTGAGTTTGGGGCATCAGGGAACTGGTGTGAGTTAACAGGTTAATATAAAGACAACCACAGGGATATGAATCATAATCTCAGCAATTCATCTGTGTGCCCTTGTAATTAATATCCTCCCTCCTCTCTTTGGAGTTATTCAGTAGTTACTCAGATCCTGGCTGCAGGATCTTCTGAGAGTGTTGATGGATTTTGGCACGTTAAATCCAAGTGGTCTTGCAGCCTACACTTGGGCTTTACTCTTGAAGTTATCCAGTCAAATAGTTTTAGTATATAACTAAGAGGGAACCGAAGGATTTAGCATTAAATAAGTTAACAAGGCTTTCATCTGCCAAGTTGAATTACAGTTTTCCCAGCAAATTTGATTGGATTTGTGCCTAAAGCACGACAGAAACCAGGCTCTGGTGGTTTTATTTTCCATTTCCTACTTGTGAAAAAAGAAACACCGCCCCCCCCCCCTCCATCTTACAGTAAGCAAAGGGCTCTCAGCACAAAGCCTCACCATAGTTCAAGTCTCTGCCTCAAGCTGAGCAAAGCATTGGTGTGACCCAGTTCCCATTACCCAGGTGACAGCGCAGGTGAATGGATTTGTACCTTCACGCCCTGCTGTTCTTGTACTACTTCTTTACGCATGTATTTGAGTGTGCTATTTCAGCATGCTGTGAGCTTAGCTGTGCTATTGGGTTTTGCTACTGTGGGGAAAATTTAGAACTTGACAAAATCTTGTTCGGGGCTATTAGCGTTTCAGCTTATTTTAAATTCATGAACACACCACTATGAGCTGGTGTGAACCCTGCAGACTGCCACAATCTGAGATGCCCTTGCTCAACATGGCAGTTAAAAAGTGAAATTTTTTTTTTTTTGAAAGTACCCAAGGGGTGGGTATAGACTATGGCACTACTGTGCAATGCAGCTTTATTGCATGAGACATCCAAGTTACCCGTAAGAGATGTGACTGTGTTGCTTCTAGGATCCCCATTAATACAATTGTATTTTGTAGTCTGGACACCCTAGTTTTAGGTATCAGTGAGGAAGTACCCCATATTAAATTGGTCACATATGTCATGGAAATAGGAGCACAAAGTAGGGGCCCAACAAGAGAAGGGTGAGGTGCTAGATGTTTGTTAGCAGTTGAACTGACACAGTGCATCTCCCAGTGACTAAGTTAAGGTGATCTTCGCAGGGCCTGCTTTAGTACCTCTTTTATTCCTTGTTACCCAAGAAGCTGGAAAAACATCCCACAGAAGATCTCATCAGTTGAAGGCTTTTCTAGTTAAGAGCAGTTCAGGTATGCAGAAGTTCACGTCAGTTAGAAACAGTGGCAGGAAATACAACTTTTTCTGTCAGTCTAACTCTTTCTGCCAGTCCAGATTAGCTTTCAGGTGTATCAGCATTAACTGTATCTGTCTCTGCATAATCTATTCATAAATCTTTGCAGATTTTTTTTCTTTTCTTCTCTTTTTTTCTCTTAGGTATTCTAGTTATTAAACAAGAAGAAGATGAAGAAGGAGCAAACTGATGACACTTTCTTGTTGGGTATTTAATTATTTAAGTAACTCCAGATAGCTCGGCACATAGAACTTTTATATAAAATGTTTGTTTTGAAGAAAATCTTTGGGCAATTTTTAAAAGACCGGCTTATCTCCACAGTCTCTCACCCAAAGAGTTAGTTACCAAAATTTGGGCGCACCAATTTTGTCAAGCTTATGACACCTTCTGTAGAGACCAGTGGAGCCGAATTTATCTGCTCTTTGGCTAGCAAGAGATCTTTACCTAAACTAATAGATAGCTATTTTTAATCCTTGATTAATGGTGCTTGTTGTTCACTCTTGGGTTATAACAGAACCACTTCAATTTGTTGGGTGCAGCTGGCCAACATTATCGTTGGAAACACTGAGGCCAAAAGAACAATGTTGTGGTTTAGAGACACATAACAGGCTTTGTTATGTTTAATTTTGTCACGGGAATCCCTCAGTGTTTTAAATATGCGAGTTTGCCTTTTCATCCCCTTAGCTGTTACACCAAACAGGCCCAGTAGTTGTGGACCTATGCACAAAAAAGGTGTTGGGTCTGATGATCGCTTGTTACTGGCCGTAAGTTTTGAATTGGGCTTCCTGCATTGGAACTCATTTACATTGCTTAGAAGGCCACATATAACTTATTTATTTATTTATTTTAAAGAGGCAATGGGAATTCTTTGCATGGTTTCAGTGAGACTAAAATACCTGCTAGCTTTTTTTTTTTGTCTCTTACTAAGAAATTACTTGTAATTGGAATATGTGGCCTGTTAGCCTACAGCTGGTTCCTGGTTTTGGTTTGTGTTACTGGTGGACCTAATCCTTCTCAGCTCTGGAATTTTCCTATAACTAAGTAGGCTGAGACTAATACAGAAACAAACAGTGAACAAAAGACCTGGGCTTGAGGACAGAAAATTTTGGTTTTGGGGATGTTAATTTTTTAATGAAAGCACAGATGTAAGCAGTGAGAGAAAGTGTATGTATGTAGTTAGTGGGCAAGGTGCGATGAGATGGAAAGTGGGCATTGGAAAAAGAAGTACTGAAGACGTACTAAATGTGCTATAATGCAGGGTAACCAGTTTTAGTAAAGCCCCCTTCTGTGACAGGTAACTATTTTTAGTGAAGAGCATTAAACAACGATGAGGACATACCTGATTGCATTATTGGAGGCCAATAGTGGGTTTTTTTCTTCTTCTCCTTAGAGAATAGATCAAGTCACTTGAATAGATTTTTCTGCAGCTCGTTTTTGTTTTTTTCAAAAGCTTTTCTTCAAATTTACAGTACCATCTTTGTTTAAACGAAAATGGCAACAAGCGTACCTGCTGGTTCCAGACCAGGCATAGAAGGGCTGGAGGCAGACCGCTGCTCTTAATTATTTTGTTTGTGAAGGTGTGGCAGGAGTTGAAATCTTGGAAGTCATGGTCAGAGATTTAAAAGGTAGAATTGGCCCAGGCAACAGTATTGACCTCAAGTTCCAGGTAGAATTGTAGTAGAAGATATTCTCTCTCTAATGAATTTCTAAGTAAGTAAACAGCATGAGGTAGAAGATTACAAGACAATCACAGTTTAGTTTCAATATATTGTTAGTTATTCTATGATTGTTAGAGGAATTCTTAAGCATTCCAACTTAAATTGGCAATTGCTGATAAGGCTTGAGTTTGATTTAGCTCCACTACTTACAGTAAGGTCAAGAGAGCAATGGCAAAAACCGTGGGCGTTCTTCACCTAGCACAAACTATTTCCAGGCAGCTGTTCTCTTGACTAGAAAGCAGTTTCTTAACTAGCTCACTGGATTTAGCTTACAGACAAGCCTCTATTTGTACACAATTCCTTTCAGCATTATTCTCTGGCTTTATCATTAGTAAAGGCACCGTTGACCAAGAAGCACGCCGAGAGAGGGGGGGTATGTAGTCAACAGCCATCTCATAATCGGCTGCTTTTAAAACCAAGTCATTCAGTTTGCTTGCAGGCAGCAACTTTTGGCAAAGTGGCTGTGCTTTGGCAGTACGCAGCCTACGGCACACTCGGCCCCTACTGACGCCATCTGCTGCAGTGGGGCTACAGGGGATTGGCTTGTGCCCTTGACAACTGTAATTAAAGCGTGGTTAACGTCAGCCAGAGCTTGAGTGAAGCCAAACTTCACTTCTGCATACTATCAACAAATGGAAATGCCAAATTCATCTCTGTGGTTGGAGACATTTTCAGAGCAGACCATGCAGTGCTCTTGTCCTAGTGCTTGGCCACAAAAAAGTGTTTGAACCTCTGTAACTGGTCTCTCCTAGCACAACGGCTACCCGTATGGTACGTACGGCATGTACAGCTAGGTTCGCTCCTCAAGTGAAATGCAACAGGAGAAAGAGTGAGCAATGAGCACACAGTCCAACGCCAAGTTATCCTGCTATATCTAAATATGGTTTAAGTCTGCACATTTCTGAAGGTTGTGTTAGATACAGCAAATACTCTACACTTTGCCTATTTTGGGACACTCAGAGGAGAATAGGAACTTAGTGTTCTGCCTGCGTGGTGACAACTGGAATGAAGCACAGCTCCATTGAGAAGACGTGAGAGATAAGTGCAGTTCCTGACTCTTGTGAGTGACCAAGGCAGGCTGTACCTATGGGAGTCAGTCCAAGAACGATTGCAGTTGTTGGCAGAGCTGTGTGTGTTGTGTAGCCCACTGGCATCAGCTCTTCTCACAGATTTAAGACCACAAATTCTCTAGCTCTTTTTTGGGGGCTGCCATATAAATGCTACCAAAAAAGAAAAAAGAAAATAAAAATCATTGTTAAAGGAATAGAGCATCCAGTCTCGGCACAATTATAACAGCAGCAAGGGACACAAATATCTCTCTGGCCTTTCACCCTTCATGCTGTGATAAATTAGCATATAATTTAAAACCCTTCTGATAAAAACTGTATGTCAATCGCAATGAAACAGTACAGTCAGAAAAGAAGAAACTGTGGCTCTTATTTGTCAGAGGATGCTTCAGCTTGATGTTGCTTTTCTGATGAATCATGATTACTCTGAAGAACAAATCAATGCGCCCCCCTCCCCAACTTTTTCTCCTCCAAAATAAGTAAAGTTTTCCTAAATTTTAAAATTTGCACTTTAAAAATTATGCACTGGATGTGGTGGAAGACATACACAGGTGGTGGAATTAAAGCAGCTGATGTGCATATTGATGGTGCTACACCATGTCACAATACAGGCTAACAGCAAAGCTCGGCCTGCACACCCATAGGGAGTGGCCGAGTAAAATGTTGAAAGGCTTCTCTTTCTGCAGTACTCTCTGCTTTCCCTATCTCCTGGCACCACATCCAGTAAAGTAGTAAGCACATTATTACTCATGGATGGAAAAAAGCACCCATGTAAAACTTGCAAGCCATGTGGAATTCTGCTTTTCCCAGTGAAATTATGGGGGATTAGCATCCACTTTATTCCTTAGAGAAATATCCTAAAATTAAATTAGTGATAGGAAATAGCTAGTTTTTTTACTTGCTTGTTAGCATGCTGACCTCTCTTCAAAGAGCTGATGTATGCAGTGATTACATTGAGAACTGCTGGAAAAATGTGAGAAGAGACCTGAGAACCAGCAGATGACTTAGGTTACACTAGAATTACACATCTAGAAAAAATCTTCAAGCAAGAGAGCACTTTTAACATCCCCTTTTGCTATCTTTTGTATACAGTAATTTTGTAGCATGACCAAGCTGTTAAATTTGCTGTGTTTAAATTATTTAGGCCTATGTTTATAAATGTTATTGTGTGAAACTTGTTTAAAATAATATAACGTTATTTTATACAAATGTCTTTGGCTGTTGTGTAATGAAATAGTTCAGCTTGTGGAGAGCATTCAGAAATTAAATTTTGTTCTCATTAAACTTTCCTAGCTGCTCAGGGAGCAATGTACTTATGATAGTATGTAAATGCTATTCCTTATTGCCTCTATATTTTAGAATAGAAAATAACTTACAACTTTAAAAATGCTGATATATTGTCATTGTTGTCATCTGATACATAAATATTTTTCAGTCTTTTAAGCCATTTGTTGTCAGACTTTGTTCTTGGGTCCTAAGAGAAAAGTCTACTACTGCTATGTGGGGAAAAAAATCCACGTAAGTTAAATAAACGGCTAGTCTTTCTTCAGTACAGAATTACTCATTCAGTTTGAATTGAAGCTCTGTTAACAGCAATATACTATCAATTGCATTAAACCTGGACAAGAGAAGGTTGACTGATTGATGAACTTCTGTAACAGAAACTTTAGCCTATAATGGACAGTGTGACTGCAATGTCATTTCTAAACTCCAGTATAAAGAAAAAGCTTTCTACCCCACAATCCACAGCAGTTGGACTCAATGATGACAAGAATAGCATCCTGCAAAGACAGTTGTAATGCTATTTAAAAAACATAGGGAATTACTGCAGAATTCCTCACGATACCACTAACTCAAAGCTTACTAATCACTAAAATGCTTTATAAGGTCTCTTTCAGTAGCTGAAATAACTTCCAGAAGGTTGGGCTTGGAGCCACCAATTAAAAGATGATGAAAACCAAAATGCCCAAAACTTGTGACTTTTTTGATCATGCAAAGTTTGTTTGTATGGCTTCACAGTTTTAGTACAAAGTAGTCAATCTTTAGGACTTGCGCCAGTTGGCTTTGACAGGGTGGCAAATACATTTAAAGACTTAAACAAAGTCTTGGTCTTCTATCTGAAGTGAAGGCTTCAGTGGTCCTTGTCTCTTTTGCTCGCCATGCAAAATACCACTTACTGCTCCAAACACTACTGCTGATCAACAGCCACATCCACAGGAGTAAATTAAAGCAAGGGTTTCCACACTGAGCTAAAAAAAAAAAAAAAAGAAAGAGTATTTTAATGTCTTGGGCCAAGTCTTTCTGCTGCCAGCTTTGCCAAGAATATTGAAATGAAAATTGATCAGCATAAATTAACAACTAAAAAGACAACAGGTGTGCTGCCTTAGATTCTAACTGAAATCTAGCAGGAGGCCAGTCAGACACTGATACATATTTCTACCATCTGCTTTAGGTAGTGAAACATTTGCAGCTTTTAAAGACTTCATGCCCATAGGTGTGAGAAACACCTGTGTAGCCTAGTTAACTGAAACCAGTTAACTACCAAAACAGAAGGAACCTTTGTTTTGAGGATGGATGGAAGCATATTAATATTTAAAATCCACAGCAAGAGATTCAGCTATTGCCAGAGGAAATGAGATTAGCACTGTGTAATAAAGTATGTTTAAAAACCCCCTTAGATTCAGGTAACAAACAAGTGCCTTTAAGA